AATTCTGGGAGTTGAAGTCCAGACGAACTGACTGAGGAATTCTGGGAGTTGAAGTCCAGACGAACTGACTGAGGAATTCTGGGAGTTGAAGTCCATGCAAGCTGACGGGGGAATTCTGGGAATTGAAGTCCAGACAAGCTGACGGGGGAATTCTGGGAGTTGAAGTCCAGACAAGCTGACTGGGGAATTCTGGGAATTGAAGTCCATGCAAGCTGATGGGAATTCTGGGAGTTGAAGTCCACACAAACTGACTGGGGAATTCTGGGAATTGAAGTCCATGCAAGCTGACGGGAATTCTGGGAGTTGAAGTCCAGACAAGCTGACTGGGGAATTCTGGGAATTGAAGTCCATGCAAGCTGACGGGAATTCTGGGAGTTGAAGTCCAGACAAACTGACTGGGGAATTCTGGGAGTTGAAGTCCAGACAAGCTGACTGGGGAATTCTGGGAGTTGAAGTCCACAAATCTAAAAGTTGCCAAGGTTGAGAAACATTGGAATACAGACAAGGGGAGTGAATGAATTGTTGTTGTGAAAGTGGCTTCCGATTGTAATGCTTTTTAAGATAACCTTTTTATATATTTCACTGAATTATCCAGAATTTGGGAAGGAAAAAACTAGTGGACGTAGCATGAGGGCCTACATCAATGTTTTGCGAAGGAGGGTTTCAAGCTACAAGAATTCCTAGCTCGCTGACTTTTCATATCCCAAGATATCATGTCAAAAGACAGCCCTCTCCAAATCGGCTTACCAGCTTGAGCAAGTCAATTAATTTGTGGACATCTTCTCCCGTGGAGAGATCTACGAAATCCTTGGGTAATCTGTAGCTCAGATACGGACTTGGCTGGACTGTGAGATTGCTGTTCGTGCAACGGAATGACAGAGACTCCTAATTTGGAAGAGAAGAGCAAAATTGAGAAAGATTGACTCAATTATTTCCTTGCAAAAAATTTTATGTACTAATTAATGAATCGATGCAGTCTAATATATCACAATTTCTCTTAGTTTCCACCCATTGTTTCTTGTTTTGTCTTCTGGTGCTTTGGAGAATAAGTTGACTTCCTCTTCTTTGGGGCAGCCCTTCAGATATTGGAATATTGACATGATAGCAGGGTTCCAATATCTCTGCCATAACGAAGAGGGAGTCCAGCTATTCTCCAAAGCACCAGAAGGCAGGACACGAAGCACGGGATGAAAACTAACCAAGGAGAGAAGCAACTTGGAACTAAGGAGGAATCTCCTGACAGTGAGAATAATGAATCAGTGGAATGGCTTCCCTTCAGAAGTTGTGGGTGCTCCATCACTGGAAGTTTTTAAGAAGAGATTGAATAGCCATTTGTCTGAAATGGGATAGGGTCTCCTGCTTGAACAGGAGGTTGGACTAGAAGACCTCCAAGCTCCCTTCCAGCTCTCTTATTCTCTTATATACAAATAGTGAACAACTTCAAAATATCGAATAGTGATTTCATAAGCTGGGGGAGGGAAGATGGGAATTCTTCCAAAACATGGGTCAAGACCAGAATTTTCTAGGAGACCTCTGGCCATGAGAACCACTCAGGGAGCTGACAGTCCACCAATCTTAGAGCAACCTCCTCCACACCCATTAATGGCTTGTTTGCAAGTTGGAGAAAGGAGATTCCCAGAAGTGAATGGACAGAGCATGAGGGCCTACACCAGTATTTCTCAATCGCAGCAAATTTAAGATGCAAACTCCAACTCCCAGAATTCCCCAGCTAACTCCCTTTTTGGTAAGGTCCCAAGACAAATCCATTAATAAACTATTCTATTCATTGCGGCTCGCAAGCCAAAATTCTTACTGCCCATGAACTTTCCATCATTTTTATAGCTAACATTCATTTCCAACAAGGCAAAATTGCAACAGTGGGTATGCATGTATGTATGTTTGAATGTATATTTATTTACTTACTTGCTTAGTTATTTATTTTGTTACTTTCTTACTTTACTTTCTTACTTAATTACTTATTGACTTTACGTTCTTACTTAGTTACTTTCTTACTTAGTTACTTACTTTCTTAATTACTTACTGACTTTACTTTCTTACTTAGTTACTTTCTTACCTATCTAGTTACTTATTTTCTTACTTAGTTACTTTCTTACTTATCTAGTTACTTATTTTCTTACTTAGTTACTTTCTTACTTACTTTCTAAGTTATTTACTTAGTTACTTACTTTACTTACTTACCTTCTAACTTACTTAACTTTCTTACTTAGTGACTTTCTTATTTACTTCCTTATTTAATTACTTTCTTATTTATTTATTCTTGCCACACAGTAATTCTGGGAAGTTTTAAAAATTAAAAAAAAGGAAAATGTCAAATGCCTATTAAAATCAGGAAACCTGATTTAATTACAGGTACTCCTGTATATAGATTTGTCCTGTATTTTGTTTCAAATTCACCTCTTCTGTTCTCTTACCTCTTCCATCGCTGCTCCTTCAGTCTGGTCATTTTTCAAACTGTTTCCAGACCTGATTTCTTCCCATGTAAACAGCAGAGAATCCGTTACTTCCCCGAATGGATTAAAATCAATGAGCCAAACTCTGCCCTGAAGGAGGATGGCAAGAGTCAAAATGTTAACTATCCATATGTGGACAGCATAAAATAAAATACAAATAACACAATTCTTCTTTTCCTTTTCAGATCAGTTATGTTTTTGTTTCAATGGTTCTGAGTGTTAAGACACCAATTCCACATAAATCTGGATTACTACTATTGTGACAGAATCTAGATAATCCAAATAGGATCCCTTCTCACTTTATCTTCACTGTGAACTCGTGAGGGATTGTCTTAGATGTTTTCTCAAAGTTGCTTCATTTGTCTGGGTACAAGCCCTGCTTATCTGATCACTGCCTTAGTAGCCCCTCTTCCTCCTGCCTTCAAGGCCATTCCTTATTCCCTCTGTAATATGGATTTCTTTTGAGATATGTTTTTGGGCTACCTGACTTTTTTCTCTCCTTCAGTTAGTGACCAATTCAGTGTTTTGAAGATCAGACCAGGTTGCCTAGATGCTGCAAATCTCTTGGGAGAGAATCAGGGTCTCAATTGTATACCTTCCCAATCATTAGCACGGTTATAGAAGAGAAAGCTCACTTACCATACTGTCCCTGTAGACATCAAATACAACTAAAAAGGAAGGGGGGGGGAAAGCAGAAAGTAGGAAAAGTAAGTATACTTGTAATTGTTAGAAAATACCTGCATCTCATTCAAATTAAAAGGGTACTCACAATCCTCATCCAAAAACTTATACTGTATGTGCTTCGTGAAAAAGTCCTGTATGCATCTACAAATCTCTTCTTTCTGTTTGGAGATATGTTCGTAGTACTGAGTGTAGTCTCGCTGAGATATGCCTGGAAGACAAATTATCTTCATTATAATTTTTTATTAATCTTGCTACTGCAAGACTTCCTTGGAATTAAAGCACAGTGGTAGAATATGAGCCCCAGCGATACCGGGCTGTTGTTGATGAATTAAAACAAAAAACAAAACCTTGAACCTGCTTAGATCTTATTTATTCTAATTAGTTACATTCGGAAGGTGCCAAACATTTCCTCTGTTGCTTTGTCGCTTGTATCCTTATGATCTATATTGACTGTTTCCTACTATGATTTGATTGCTTATTGTACCCTCTGACTATTATTAAGTGTTGCACCTTATGATTCTTGACTCTTGACGAATGTATCTTTTGTTTTATGTGCACTGAGAGCATTTGCACCAAGACAAATTCCTTGTGTGTCCAATCACACTTGGCCAATAAAAGAATTCTATTCTATTCTATTCTATTCTATTCTATTCTATTCTATTCTATTCTATTCTATTCTATTCTATTCTGCATTCTATTCTATTTGCATTCTGTTCTATTCATTCTATATTCTATTCTATTCTATTCTATTCTATTCTATTTTGCATTCTATTCTGCAATCTAGTCTATTCATTCTATTCTATTCTGCGTTCTATTATATTCTGCATTCTATTCTATTCATTCTATATTCTATTCTATTCTATTCTATTCTATTCTATTCTATTCTATTCTATTCTGCATTCTGTTCTATTCATTCTATATTCTATTCTATTCTATTCTATTCTATTTTGCATTCTATTCTGCAATCTAGTCTATTCATTCTATTCATTCTATTCTATTCTGCGTTCTATTCTATTCTTCATTCTATTCTATTCATTCTATATTCTATTCTATTCTATTCTATTCTATTCTATTCTATTCTATTCTA